CAACAGGAAGTAACAACAACAAAAAAGCAAACAAACCCGTGACTTGGTAACATCATATACTAACCAAGTGCCTAACATGAAGATGACATAAACTACAAAGTTTTGGAAAGTCTGTGGATAAGCCAAAAATCCCAAACACTACTGGTGGGTGGGAAAATTGGTACAAATTTTGGCAAAGTGTTTGGTAGTATCTCTAAAAGCTGAACATATCTAAAAATATTTACCAACAATTTGGTGACACATATATAGCCAGCGGACTTGTGTGCGTGTTCCACTAAAACATAAATTATAGATTTTACATGCCAGTACTATTCATGACAGTCCTACACTGAGAACCATCGCCCTCCCATTAACAGCAGAGTGATGCAATCACTTGATATTCACACAATGTAATCAGATCGACCCATTCTAATGAATGATACACAATAACATGCAGGAATAAAATAAAGTCACAGGGGCGCCTGGGTGGCTCAGTCGTTAAGCGTCTGCCTTCGGCTCAGGTCGTGATCCCAGGGTCCTGGGATGGAGCCCCGCATCGGGCTCCCTGCCCAGCGGGAAGCTTGCTTCTCCCTCTCCCACTTCCCCTGCTTGTGTTCCCTCTCTCACTGTATCTCTCTCTGTCAAATAAATAAAATCTTTAAAAAAATTAAAAAAAAATTAATTCACAAACAATAGATGGAAAGAAAAGAAGCCAAATCCAAAAGAGTTCCCATTGTATGATTACATTAATATAAAGTACAAAAGTTAGCACAGCAATCTCTTGCCTTACATGTTAAAGGAGTGCTGAGCTTTGGGGAAAATTACTGAGGAGCTCAAGGGGAATTTTAGAGGACAAACAATATTCTGTTTCTTGATCTCAGTGGCTTATAGAGATGTGATCAGTTTGTGAAATATCATTCAACTGTTCACTTATGATCTGCATGTGACTTGACTTTAAAAACAAAAACCTCAGGGCGCCTAGTGGCATACTCAGTTAAGCATCTGACTCTTGGTTTCAGTTCAGGTCATGATCTCAGGGTCTTAAGATCCAGTCTCCCTGGGCTGAGCACTCAGCAGGGAGTCTGTTTGGGATTTTCTTTCTCCCTTTTTTTCTGCCCCACCCTCCATGTGATCTCTCACTCTCTCTTAAAAAGAAAAAAAAGATGTTAAAAAATACATCAGCCAAATGTTCCTGGTAACAATAAACTTTGCTTGAATATATTCCATTGGGGGGCGCCTGGGTGGCTCAGTCGTTAAGCGTCTGCCTTCGGCTCAGGTCATGGTCCCAGGGTCCTGGGATCGAGCCCCGCATCGATCTCCCTGCTCAGCGGGAAGCCTGCTTCTCCCTCTCCCACTCCCCCTGCTTGTGTTCCCTCTCTCGCTGTGTCAAATAAATAAAATCGTTAATAAATAAATAAATAAAGTTTTCTTTATACCTTTAAGGTGTTTTAAGGAATCTTTAAGGTAATCACAATGAAAATACTCACAGAAGACACAAAAGTTAATGAGAATGGTATCAAGGTATATCATGGGTATAACACCACAATTAATGATAAAATATGATACCTAAACTTGATACAGGGGTATAAAATGTGTAAAAATTACTTTCAATTCAAAGAGTCTTTCTCTCATTCAAAGAGAATATAAATTCACCAACAGATGAAACTAATTCTATTTTTTTTTAAGATTTTATTTATTTATTTATTTATTTGACAGAGAGAGGGAACACAAGCAGGGGGAGTGCGAGAGGGAGAAGCAGGCTTCCCACGGAGCAGGGAGCCCGATGCGGGGCTCGATCCCAGGACCCTGAGATCATGACCGGAGCCGAAGGCAGACACCCAATGGCTGAGCCACTCAGGTGCCCCAAAACTAATTCTATTATTATGACAACTTACCTAGACATGATACAACATACACTGAACACTGATCAAGGAAAGAAATAAGCAATAGGAGAATCAAAGTATGTACCACTGACATTTATACACACAAATGCATACATAATTTTATTGGTAAAGGCCTAAAGCTGGTTTGTATATTTTTTTAAGATTTTATTTATTTATTTGAGAGAGTGAGAGAATGAGAGAGAGAGCATGAGAGGGGAGAGGTCAGAGGGAGAAGCAGACTCCCCGCTGAGCAGGGAGCCCGATGTGGGACTCGAACCCGGAACTCCAGGATCATGACCTGAGCCGAAGGCAGTCGCTTAACCAACTGAGCCACCCAGGCGCCCCCTGGTTCATATTTGATTTAAATTCTCAAGGTCTTAAAATCTACTGAGTTAAAAATGGTCATCCTATAATAAAATACACAGGTAAAAACAATACCACAACTAAATAATATTGTGGAAGGTCCCATATAAAAGGAAGCACATTATTATGGAATTTCAAAATCTAACTCAAAAAATTCACATAAAAAATAGATGAAGTCGTTTTTTTTTAAATGTTTTATTTATTTATTCATGAGAGTCAGAGAGAGAGAGGGAGAGAGAGAGAGGCAGAGGGAGAAGCAGGCTTCCCGCGGAGCAGGCAGCCTGATGCGGGACTCGATCCCAGGACCCTGGGATCATGACCTGAGCTGAAGGCAGACGCTTAACCATCTGAGCCACCCAGGTGCCCCAAAAATAGATGAAGTCTTAAAAGGAAACCCATATAAATACAACTCTAAACTATATGTACCTATGAAAAGCTAGCCTTTTGAATTATTGGCATGTCTTCATGGACAGTAAATTTGTAAAGAATACTCATTAAAATCAAACATAGGGGCGCCTGGGTGGCTCAGTTGGTTAAGCGACTGCCTTCGGCTCAGGTCATGATCCTGGAGTCCCAGGATGGAGTCCCGCATCGGGCTCCCTGCTAGGCGGGGAGTTTGCTTCTCCCTCTGACCCTCCCCCCTCTCATGCTCTCTCTCTCTCTCTCATTCTCTCTCTCTCAAATAAATAAATAAAATCTTAAAAAAAATCAAACATAGAAAGCTCTAATGAAAAATTTTATGAATAAGCACTTAAAAGACAGTAAAAAATGTATTATGTTATTAATATATTCTTCTTCCACACAATGTAAAGGTATAATACATTCTTTACAACCAACTGTACAAACAAAACTATTCATTTCTAAATAAACACCATCAAACTTGTAAAATATGCCGACACTTTCTACAACGCATTTAGAATTAAACTCAGATACATTCTTTTTTTTTTTTTTTAAAGATTTTATTTATTTATTTGACAGAGAGAGACAGCGAGAGCAGGAACACAAGCAGGGGGAGTGGGAGAGGGAGAAGCTGGCTTCCCGCTGAGCAGGGAGCTCGATGTGGGGCTCGATCCCAGGACCCTGGGATCATGACCTGAGCCGAAGGCAGACGCTGAACGACTGAGCCACCCAGGCGCCCCTAAACTTAGATACATTCTGAATAACTAGAAGAAAAACTTACTGATTAATTATTCCTGATATAAAATTACACATGCAAACAAAACTTTTTTTTTTTTTTAAGATTTTATTTATTTGTCAAAGAGGGAGAGAACATAAGCAGGGGAAGAAGCAGGCAGAGGGAGAAGTAGGCTCCCTGCTTAGCAGGGAGCCGGATGCTGGGCTTGATCCCAGAACTCTGAGATCATGACCCGAGCCAAAGGCAGCCACTCAGCTAAGCCACCCAGGTGCCCCAGCTTTTTTTTTTTTCACTATAGGAATTTTGGTAATTATCTACCTCACTTCTTGAAATGTTGCGAAAAATAATCAGACTAGTGAGAAACGAAGCGACACATGGAGAAGTAGAACTTGGGTTTATTTTATGCCAGTGGACCCAGACCAGCTTGCACTCGAAATTCTGGGCCCCAGGTAGTGGGGTTACAGGGTTGTTACAGGGGAGTGCACGGGGGGGGTGGTCAGGTTCCAAGGGCTATGCTGACTGCTGGTAGGTGGGTTTAAACTCCCGGAGCGGGGGACTGCTTTAGGCAGGAACAGTAGTTAGAGCGGTGCAGGGGGCTTGCAGCGGGAAACCTGTTTACGGTGGGGCTTCTGGTTATCTCTTGCTCTTTCTAGCAACTTTTCATCTACCGGGGCCTGCCGGCCTGGGCCTGCTCTGGGTAATTTTCCTCTTCGATAAAGCACAAGCCCATGTTATGTAAGACCTTTTGATCTAAAAAATCAGAGATGAATCTGCTACATAACTAATAAGAAAGTGAAAAGATACATGACAAAGACACAAGAACTTCGTATCAAAGAAGACAAAATTATAAAATGACGCAATTGTTAATAAATAAGGTAACAAGTGAGACTTTATTGTAGGCTGCAAGTTCTAAGTTCTAAATGTTTTAGCTCCCCTATGCCATTAATTCATGTAGGAATTCTAGGATACAAATAGATACATTACATTGTTTCACCATTGAGGAATGGAACACATAGAATGGAAATTTCTTATTTTAGTTAATACAAAGAAAAATGAACTCTTGAAGGGAAATAAAGGCTTAGATTTTCTCATTTTAGGAAAGTGCTTTGTTATCTGATGGTTACTGAGTCTCAATTTTGTACAATTAAGATTAAAGATCCCATAATATTGGAAACCAGAAACCAGAAACATGGGATATCTATCTCCGGTGTTCCCAGGATTTCTGCACCAAAACCCAATATGTCTACCACTACCCTGACACACTTCTAACATGAGACAAAACAGAACTTAACAAAGGGCTTGGCATAGAGATCCTCAAAAATAGGGAGATTTCCCCAGGGCCCTCAAAGCAACGGAGAAGCTCTTAGATTATGGGGGCCTTCCCACTCCCAGGAGAGTCTATGGCCCTCCTTGTGGATGTGATGGACCATCACTGGAGCTGAAGCAGAATTCTTAGAGAATGTAAGAACTTGGTAACATAGGATAGCAGATATCCCACTGTGAGAGGCACAGAAACAAAACTAAGCTTCTCAAACTAATTTCGAATCAAGGAGAACTGCCCAAACTATAGTTTCAGGTCTCTATTGCTCCTTCAAATTTGGACCCCTCCTCTGTCATCTCCTTCAGTCATTCCCACCTACCCAACTGGATGGCTACTGTCTTCACATCCCAATGTGCATTCTTTTGTTCCAAAAAGATGACCAGATCTGTCGACACAATGACCAGATGATTCGACACAATGAAACCTGTTTATTAGAAAAAAGGAATTGGAATATTGCTAGGGATTCTAACTTCTTTTTCATTTATTTTTATTTTTTTATTTATTTCATAGAGAGAGACACAGCGAGAGAGGGAACACAAGCAGGGGAGGGGGTGAGGGAGAAGCAGGCTTCCTGCCGAGCAGGGAGCCTGATGCGGGGCTCGATCCCAGGACGCTGGGGTCATGACCTGAGCCGAAGGCAGACGCTTAACGACTGAGCCACCCAGGCGCCCCGGGATTCTAACTTTTAATCCAGGATTGTGCTCAGTAGAGAAGAGAGGACATTGTAGAATTCTAGAAAATGACTTCCCAAATGCTGTTGACCAATAGCCCTTTTGAACATGCAAGAGGGACATCCAATGTTCACATCCTGACCTCCATTCCAAGTACTAGATACAATAATGAGTGGAAATTGGAGTAGTAGAGGATGTGAGCAGTACCATTTTATGCCACTCAGTGTTTAGAATTACCACTCATCTACAGAAGTGATGAGGTTACCTTAAGGAAAGGGAAGCTAAAGCTAAAAAGGAAATACCATGAAGATTTTTCTCTACGTCTCCAAAACACTACTTACTTCCCTTAGTGCAGTGATCTGAATTCCAGTCATTCAAAGAGGAATCCTTCAAGAGACAGTCTTCAAGGGAAGGAACAAAACCCTGAGTGTGGTCTGGGAAATCTGGAAGGAGTCATCCTCACCCAGGAAGAGGAGGTGTCCGTAGTTCTCTAACATCACATCCCTGTACAGTTCCCGCTGAGTGTGGTTCAGGCATCCCCACTCCTCCTGGGAGAACGCCATGGCCACATCCCTGAATGTCAACAGTCCCTGCAATAAATACCACAGTGACCAAGTGGCCATTGGCAGAGTTCACAATGGTCCCTAAGACGAAAGAGGGAGTTAATGTCACCAGCTAGACCCAAGACCTGACCTTCCCCAGTTACCTGCTTGTACCCTCCGACCTTTGTCCCACATTTTACTCAACCTCTTCTATTCACCTTTTCTTCAGGCAAAATATCACAATGGTGTAGTCTCCTGTAATGGAAACAAAACAATAGAACAAAAGATAATGTCTACCTTGGGGCGCCTGGGTGGCTGAGCCCTTAAGCGTCTGCCTTTGGCTCAGGTCATGGTCCCAGGGTCCCTGCTCCGCGGGAAGCCTGCTTCTCCCCCTCCCCCTCCCCCTCCCCCTCCCCCTCCTTGTTTCCCTCTCTTGCTGTGTCTCTGTTAAATAAATAAATAAAATCTTAAAAAAAAAATGATAATGTCTTTCTGAGGAAGAGCTTGAACAGACCCGGTTTGAGCTTAACCCCTAACAAACAGATGGAACAAGGAGTAACCCATGGAGTGACCAACACTTAACTTTATCTCATAATACTAAAATCTCCATCTACGGAAGAAAACAAACCTCATTTACATAATATACATCGTATGTATAGAACTATTGTCTTCAGGTGCACATGCACCCTATGCCCAGCTCTACATCAATATCCACCGTCAACACTAAAATAAGGAAGCCATTCCCCCTTGCTCTGTGAGTCTCAGCTTGGGAAGTTTATTCCCTGTGACTTCCTTATTTGCTGCACATCAAGTTTCCTTTGGGTGACAACCCCACCTGGTGTAGCTTCTATCTATGACTGTATTAAAGTTCAGGATTTTAACACACTCAAACATCTTAATTATGGGATTCTTGTCTGTTTTAATTTTTTAAAGATTTTATTTATCTATTTGACAGAGACACACAGCGAGAGCAGGAACACAAGCAGGGGGAGAGGGAGAGGGAGAAGCAGGCTTCCCGCGGAGCAGGGAGCCCGATGCGGGGCTGGATCCCAGGACCCCGGGACCATGACCTGAGCCGAAGGCAGATGCCCAACGACTGAGCCACCCAAGGACTGACCCACCCAGGTGCCCCTGATTCTTGTTTTCTTTTTCTGTAAATATAAAGAAGTTAATGATGTAATAAAGATGTTTGGGTTTGAAGCCAAAGGCAAGAAAGAATTCTTGAGACATCTTTGGTGCAAAAAGGTGGTTTTATGAAAGCACAGTGACAGGACCCGTGGGCAGACAGAGCTGTGCTGGGGTCAGGAGCAGTGGCCCAATATATACTTTAAACTTTTGAGGGGTTTAGGGATAGTGTAAGCCTTACAGGTATTTTGGGAACAAGGTTTAACAGGATCCTGAGGGGGCTAGCTATTGCTGGGAAAAGGTCATTTGTTACTGCCTAGTGAACCCTCAGTCATGAGACCCTTTAGATGTATAGCAGTCAGTCATATGCTTGGGGGATGATTACCAACATGTATCTCGGGGGGTAGAGAGAAAGGAAGTTTCCAAAGGAATTTTTAGGTGTTAAAGTAGACTTCCAGGACCCTGGGGGTCGGGCTAAGGTTGCCTTTTTCCCTTAGCAAAGTATCAATATCAAGACGGTTGAATCCCTAGAGGAATGTCACTCTGCCTGGTTCAAGGACTTGTCAATGGGCTGTAGGTAGTAAGGAAATGTAATAATTTTTCTTCTGCCTTTGTTTTCCACATCAGTTAATAGAAGGGTATTTCTGTGATCTGAGTGTGGAGTAAAATAAAAACTTACAAGATGGAGTTCTGATTTAGAACCTCCACTCCCATTAGTCAGTATCTTTAGTATATGAAGGTAAACCCCTCATTGTCTAGAGGAAACTGATGTGATGTGGGCTGGGAGCCGAGATTCAAGAAAGTACTCTTAAGAAGTTTCCAGTGCAAAAATCTGTTTTATATAAAGCGTGGGGGCATGACTCATGGATAGAAAGACTTCCACTGTCCTTGTAAGAAGTAATTGATAAAATACTTTTAAGTTGGGGGGGATAGAGATAAAGGAAGTTTCCAAAAGTATTTTCATATGTTAAAGAGAACCTGTAGGATCCTGGAGGTTGGCTAATGTCGAGCTAAGGTTGCTTTTTACCTCCAGCAAAACATTAACTTTGAGGCAGTTTTGAATTCATTGAGGAATGTCATGCTCTTCCTGGCTCAAGTATTTATCAATGGGCTGCAAATTGAAGGCAATTTAATTTTATCTACATTTCTTTTGCTTTTGTTCTCCTGATCAGAAACAACAAGCAAGAGAAACTCCGAAGAAAGTTTCCAGTTTAAATATGATAGTTTCTGCACATCATTCAGTAAATCCACCTAGGATCTTTATGAATAATAAGAGGGAAAATATGAAGCTTATAGGGGAGAAATCTGGTAGAGAGAACCAACCCAAGTAAAAGAAGATATTACCAGCTGCACAGAAACAAATTGATATCAGTGCATAAGGCACACTGAAGGACATATTATCACTCCTCTGTTCTTGTGGCCTCCAAATAGTAAATCAGATTATAAATGGAATTATGAGAACACAGTGGATATATACAAAATTCAATCACATACATTTTCCATGTCCTGTAATATGTAGTATATTTTAAGTAGAGTATCTTTTTCACATTCTAAAAAGCAAGACTCTTCTTCTTTTCAAGAACTATCCAAAAAAAAAGGAATTTTCCAAGGTATTCTGGGCCTTATATCTATTGGGTTTATTTGTGCATTTTCTTTTCTTTCTTTTTTTTTTTTTTAAAGATTTTATTTATTTGTTTGACAGAGAGAGACACAGCGAGAGAGGGAACACAAGCAGGGGGAGTGGGAGAGGGAGAAGCAGGCTCCCCGCTGCGCAGGGAGCCCAGGACCCTGGGACCATGACCTGAGCCGAAGGCAGACGCTTAACGACTGAGCCACCCAGGCGCCCCTATTTGTGCATTTTCTTACTCCTGGGCTACACAGAGCTGATAAAACATCCAGATGGGGCCTAAATGAGAAATGTTTTCCTTAACTAATAGCCAAGGACCTGACCCCAGCAGCAACAGGAATCTTGGACTCAACACCTTCCCCTAAAATATCAAGGGGATATTTTCAATACTTGCAGGACTTCAATTCAAAGTGACAATAGTTTGTTTTTGTAAAGAAGATTTTATTCATCCATTTGAGAGCGGGAGAGTGCGTGTGTGAGAGAGAGCATTTCAGGGGAGAGGGTCTGAGGGAGAAGCAAACTCCCCACTGAGTGGGGAGCCAGCTGTGGGACTTGATCCTGGGACTCCTGAGCCAAAGGCAGTCACCTAACCAGTTGAGCCGCCTGGGAGTGGGAGAGGAAGAAGAAGACTTCCCACAGAGCAGGGAGCCTGTTGCGAGATCCCAGGGCCCTGGGATCACGACCTGAGCTGAAAACGACTGAGCCACCCATGCGCCCCCCCCAAAGAGAGTTAATACTAGAGATTAACTTTTTATATCACAAAGAGCTGCTTGCCTTGTGGGCAAACCATTGACAAACATTTGCTCTGTCCTTTTTTCTGTGAATATGCTTCTGTTTTTGAAATTCTATCATTTAAAAAAATATTTTAGGTAGGTTCCA